TTCCGATCCCTGCTGAAAAAACCAATCAAGTGCTTCTCCACTATCAATTAGTGCATATATTAGTTAGAAAGGGAAGGGATCGAACAAGAGAAATACGAATATATCTTATCAACTCTCTCTTTCTATCTTGTAGCCCCACTCCAGGTTGTCTATAAATTGGACATGCACGCAAGACTATTGGATGAACCAAAAGACACTAGATAACCCCTTGCTTAGAAAATGGAGTACTCTAGTGGATTTCCTAGAAAAAGAGATGTTTCTCTTCATGAACTTAGCAGAAGGCTTGCTGAGTTTGCTGAAGTAAGAGGATGGGATCAATATCACAGTCCCAGAAATCTTCTTTTAGCTCTTGTAAGTCCCAAATAGTTCATGATATTAAGGTTTCTTTGATAAAGTTAATAGACATGCTATTTTATTTTTATTATTATTATTAAAAAGGTATAACTTCTTTATACCAAATCCGTCGTTATAAAGATAAAGTGTTACTTTCGATTGTAACTATATAATATTCAACTCAGGAATGATAATGATGACATATATAATTTGATATGCAGGTGGGAGAGGTGGGGGAGTTGTCTGAGATATTCCAGTGGAAAGGAGAGGTTGCAAAGGGATTGCCAAATTGGAGTTCTGATGATAAGGAGCACTTGGAGGAAGAGCTTTCAGATGTTTTGCTGTATCTAGTGCGTCTTGCTGATGTTTGTGGGCTAGATCTTGGACAAGCAGCTCTAACAAAAATAGTAAAGAATGCTAAGAAATACCCAGTTACTAATGATCACACGCCCACTTCCACCTAGTTCTTAATTTCTCATGCATTTTTACTACTATGCTATTGCTACCTACCCAAAAAGAAAAACAAATTGCATCTGTGTAATGTAACTTAGCTTGGTTTTAGTTTTGGAACTGAGTCCACTACCCTTCTATCTTCACCGTCTAAGAAGAGCAAACCTTTTAAAGAAGCAATAAGTATTTAATAATTTGTGTTATATATCTTTTCTCATTTCCCACACGCACATTCTTCTTTATAGAAAATCTAGTTAAAAGAGGATTCCTTTCCATAGAGAATATCTGTGATTTATACTTTAAAAAAAATCTTGTTTAAAACATGATTGGATAATAAATTTAAACGGTACCTCTCGCAGTGAGAAATGGAACCTTAGTCATGCACGTTGGAGACTAAAAAAAATTAACCCTTTTCATTATACCGAACCCCTTTAGTATGTGTATTATATATCTGATAATGATTAGCTATAGCACAAGAAATGCTAAGTCTATACGAAGAAAATGGTGCTATACTAATATTAGTTTTTTTAATATATTTTTTAACTATATCATTCGACTATTCATCAACTTTTCTAAAACTTTATTTAGAAGATTAAATCCAGTTTCATTTGAATTAACAACATTGATATAAAATTTATTTGAATTAAAATTTTCATAAACAATTATAAGAGAAAAAATTAGGGGGAAAAAAGTTAAATTAAGCTTTTTTATAAATAAAAAATAGTTTATAAAATAATTAAAAATAAGATTTTAAAAATATTAATAAAAAAGAATTTCTATAAATTAACTTATATATAAACTAATTTAACTTATAAAAAAAATTTATTTCATTTCTATTTATTTGGCTACCCTAAAAATATTCCCGGAGAATTTAACACAAAGTGATCCATTCTAATAACAGTTTTGGTAGTCATAACTTGCTTAGCAAAGGACTGCTTCATACATAGTTGGGTCAGATATGGAACTCCACATGTGATCTCGTGTCTAGTGGCGGATCCAAGATTAGTGGGAACGATTTTTTAAAAAAATTAAAAATTAAAAATTATTATATATATAAAATAAAACATAACTATTGAAAATAATCATCAATAAATTTAATATATAAAATTAGAAATATAAAATATAATAATTTAAATATATATTAAAATTTTAATTAAAATAAGAGATGTATTTATCTACTTATAATGTAAGTTGGTAACGATTTGTATCCTTGTTAGTGAAATGAGTAAATTAGTCATGTTGACACGTGCCTAGCCAACAAATTTCATCTCATGGATTGTTTTGGATATCATCGGCGTCATCATATATATGTTTATATTGTACAATTAATAACGAAAATTATGTTTTACGCGAGGTGAATTTTGCTTTTCCCTTTGTTTTCCCGCATCAACTGTGAAGTAGACAATTTTTGCAGCACTTGGAAAGAGCCTATCGTAAATACAATAAGTCAATAAGACGAGGAATCTTAGAAAATTAATTTCCTCGGTCTATCTAAATAAGGTCATGCATGTACTCCCAGCAGTACATGTTTGATTCATTCGTTAGTCACATGTAAGGTTTGAAATTATTGAGGAATGACTTCTAGACATTTCATTTTTCTAAAACATTCTATTTAATTACACTTTTTATTTCTCTTTTTATCGCATCATATCTTCTTAAAATGCAAGCTGTACGTTTAATAGGTTTCAGGGTGTAAAAATAATTTTCCGAAATTATATTGGTTGCGATTGCGACACCGTTTGTTGGTAGCAGATGGAACCATGCATTGTAACTGTAATTGCACCCTCATCTGGTCGCAGTAGCTGATGCAACTCAAATGATCATGCTGTCACAATAGCTTGCATTTCCAAAATAAGAGTAAGGATGTCCTTATTCCCATCCAAGAGATATAAGAGTAAGGATGTATAGCAATCTATTTCATTAGTTTGAACTTTTTGACAGAAATAACATATACTTGTAAAAACTTCATCTAATTTAATTTATGACATTTTGAGATATTACTTGAATTAGTAACCGTAACACTTAGGTATGAGAGGGGTTCCACAAGCTTATTCTTAAAATAGTGGAGTTAGAATGAGAGAAATTTACTCTTTGTTCCTTGTTCTTAAGATCTTTTCTTCTTCTTCCCTTTTTTATATGTAGTTGGTGAGTAGTTGTAAAAGTTCTTCCTTAAGTTGAGTTGTGAAGTCAAGCTCGGATCCATGCGAAGCTTCTTCTTCCCTCTATCTCTCTTGGCTGATTTTATTTTTCCTAAGAGGTAAGGGAAGTTAAAACTTGATCTTGGTGGATGATTATTGGATTATCATGTTGCATGTGTGATATAAATTCTCATTGATGCATAATTGTTTGAATGTTAAATTGATTTGCAAGAAGACTTGGTATTCTTAATCTCTCGGAGATTTTGTGGTATTTGGGGTTTTGGGAAAATTTTGATTTTGCACCCAAATTCTTGTTATTATTTGTTTTATTGTTGAAAATTGATGCATTCTACTTGTTTAGATGAGTTTTTATCATTTAGAATTGAGATTAGAGCTTGTAGGAAGCTTGAGATGGAATAGGAACGTTTGGAAATCCCAAAATTGTGAAAAATAGAGATAGTCTTTGTCATGAAACAATTGAGCCGTTTTGAGACAACAGAGAAAAATTGAAAATGAGAAATAAATGTGTCTCTGGAAAGAAATAGCTGAGCGAAATTGCAAATCAGAATCATGTGTATTTTTTGAAGGAATATTTCACTAAGCGGTTTTAAAATGGCTGGGCAGTTTGGTGCTTAATTTTTGAATTAGACTTTGTTGTCTTTGTAAAAGTTGTAGTCATAGATGTTATATTTCCAATAGCCTTGAAATCACCTAAAAATAAGATCTAGAACTCCAATTATGATCTTTTTAATGAATAAAGGTCAAACTATCAACAATTAGACAAATTGTTGCAATTTTTGCAATTTTCAACATGATAGATGATGGAATTAGAATATGAAGTTTTTAAGATAGTTGTAGATAATTTGTCTATGTTTCATATATGAGATAAAGATGAATTTGATTGGATCAGTGGAACTCCAAGTATGTTGTGTTATGTGGAAGTTATCGTTGTATGTTAATTGATGATTATACATTGAAAATGATGTGTTAATTCCTTTATAACATATGGTAATATATGGTGTCCTAGGTTATTATATGACGAATTGTTGATGTGGATGATGATGTATGGGGATGTTTAAAGTTATTTACGTTGTGATTAAAGTTGTTATGTAAAGATTATGTTGAGATTTCCGTTGAAGTACTTTTTATTATAATTAATCTTTTCTATTTTGATTTTTTTAATCAACATATACAATATCACTATTTTTACTATTTTGATCTTTTTAATCAACATATACAATAAATTGAAAGCATAAAAGGTAAACATACATGCTGCAAATTTTATTTTATCAAAAACTAATTTTTTTAATATATTATATATGTATATATATTATAATTAAAAAATTTTAAAAATTTGATTCATTATTAAGGAGTACTCCTTATCACATATGAAAACTAATTTCCTTCAAAAATTTGACAAATATCAAATAAATGAATACCTTATCCAAATTTATATTTTATACATACTATAATTTAAATATATATATATATATTATTAAGATATAAATTTTATTTTTAAAATATTTTATTTTTTAATAAAAATTATATATGTATAAATAAAAAAAATATATGTATAAAATGGTAGTGGGGGCAAGTGCCCCCACTCTACTCAACATAGATCCGTGCCTGCCTCCATGGCAAATATCTTTCACAAGGAGTTGAGAATCTTCAATATAGATGTCAAATAAAGGAACACACTACCATGAAGCAACCAAAAGTAGTAGGATGCATCGACATCAAAGCCAGAAGCCTAGATGGTACAAGTTTACCATCCTTATCACCCGAAAGAGCATATAAACCAACACTCAGCTACTCTTAGGGACAAGAATATAGGTAAACACCATCTACCCGAAGGAAATGATGCGGGGGCATCTACACTATTGAAGTAAAGGAGAAGATTCATACACAGCAAGCGACATGGAGCATTCACATGGATCTTGAAGCCCAGATGTTTCGATTTACCATCCTTGACACCCAACAGAGCATACAACCCAACACTCAGTTGCTCCAAGGGGCAAGGATATAGGGAACACCGTCTACCTAAAGGAAACAACGTGAAGTATCTATTGTCAAAACATGAGTGAAGATCTAAATTTTCACCTCACTATCACAAGAGAAACAATGGAGCATCTACTCAAAGACTGAAGATCAGGTGTGTAGTTTGTCACCCTTGTTACCCAATAGAGTACGCAACCCAACACTCAACTACTCTAAAGGGCGAGGATACAAGCAAATACACCTATCTAAGGGAAGTAACGTAGAAGCGCCAACATAAAGAGACGAAGAGAAGACCTGGACGAAATGTTTATGTCTTTACTTGCCTTTGGAAAAGCAACACATAGCTATTCCAAAGGACAAGTAAAGAGGGGTAGTTGTAGACGCCCAATTTCGTCCGGGGGGCATACAAACAAGGAAATGGACATCTATTATCAAGGAAATAAGCTCCCAAAGGATAGAAGCAACAAGACATGACATCAGAGGGCCTAAAAGTCCAAACAAGCTGGTTTTAGTAGCCTAGAACGGGCTGTTGCAAAACAGGAACGAGTCGTTCCAGGCTCTTAAAAAAGGCTAAAACCCTAGTTTGGAACGGGTCATTCCTAAACTGGAACGGTTCGTTCCTAAAGCCAGAACGGGCCATTCCAATTTCCTTAAAAAGGCCTAACACCTAAAGTTGGAATGGGTCATTCCTAAACTAGAACGGGTCGTTCTAAGCTATTAAAAAGGCATGAAAACGCTAGCTTGGAACAGCCGTTTCAGCATACTCAATTATGTGTTAAACTTATCTCTGGAACGGGCCGTTCATGTTTAAGAACCGGTCGTTCCAGTTACAAAATTAACACATAACGTTCGAATCCAGAACAGGTCATTCCAGTTTTGGAACGGGCCGTTCTGGCCACTTTCTAATGCGTCTAAATAGACAACTCGGGCATTGTTCTCAAGGCCACAAAATTTCTTCCAAGACTCCTTAGAGCTCGAAATTTCTCTCTCTTTCTCTCCTATGTATTTCTTAAGCTTTGTGAGGCTTATTGTAGTGTGAAAGGTTACCACAAAGCACCTAAAAATCT